AGCAAGAAGCTACTAGGAACAAAGGGCATCGCTACTAGGAGCAAGAATGCTGCTAGGGGCTCCTGGCCTTACTGCTAGGAGCAAGGACGCTACTAGGGGCTCCGGGCCTTACTACTAGGAGCAAGGACGTTACTAGGGGCTCCTGGCCTTACTACTAGGAGCAAGAACGCTACTAGGGGCTGCTGGCCTTACTACGAGGAGCAAGAACGCTACAAGTGAAATGAGCAGGCCTTCCACCATCTTTAGGACACATAATGTTTCCAGTGTTCTTCGGTGATACCAAACGGACTGGACCTCCCTGCAACAGACGAAGCCATCTCTAAGTCTCGACCCCGCAAACAACTGCTTCTGCAGTTCTTGGTGCTTACCGACCCCTCCCACACCGTCGCGTCCCTCCCGTCGCGGTCGAGTCCATCTCAGATGAAATCGCCATCCGCATGGGCATCCTGGAGCCGCCGTAGGAAGCGGCCTCCCACCGAGCGAAGAAAAGGCGTCCAAGTGGGAAGGTGCTTCGAGGGCCCTCGTGGAGGGTTGAGGGTGTGTCCTTCGGTGTTTTCGAGGGTCAAGTGGTTCCGTGGAGGTTGGACTTTTTGTTGAGAGGTTTTCTTTCTTGCGTTTGTTCGTTTTTTTGTCTGGAGCCAGATCACTGAGATCCTTGCATACTACGTATAGATTGTTATACGGTACTGCACCCGATTTTGTGACAGCAACTAGTTCCATTGGCAATCTTTTGGTCTGAAGGGCTGGGCGACATTTGACACCTGCCGGAAGAAGTCTCTCGAGTAGGTTGGAGGCCGTGTCGCGAGTCGCTAGTACTCGTAGGTTGGAGGCCATCGCTACTAGGTTGGAGGCCATCGCTTTTAGAAACAAAGGAAAAGAAAAGGAAGAACCGTCTAATATAATTTGCTCTTAGGTTGGAGGCCATCACTCCATGGCTCATTGTGGCTCGAGTGGGAAGCGGTGTGCTCCCTGATCAGGCAGCTGAAGTTTTGGCGGGTGGAACGAGTTTGGTGAGTGTGATCCGGATGCGCAGCCTTCTTGGGATTTGGTGTGGCTTCTCTGAACTTTCCTTCAGTGGAGATGGTGATTGAACATCAGATCACTCCTGACAACCCCAAATCTCGAGACTTTCCGGGGTGGTTGCCCAGTAATTGAGCGCACAAACAGCCCCGAGAACGAGCGAGACTGGTGTATGTAGCCTCTGCCTTTGACTCATTGAGTGGGCCACCTTGTTAAAATGTTCTTCACACCGTTGGCTTTTGCATCTCTCAAAGGAAGACGTCACGAATGTGCACAATTCCGGTATATCCAAGAGCAACGAGAGAGGCTTCTCCTGCCCATTCGTACCTCTCTACCCGGGACTCTACCTGTCGCAAGTAGGTGGGTGAAGCACGCCGCCGCGCCGCCTGATGTGAAGCACAGCAATAGAAGCCGGACATGCATGTTTGAGCAGTGTCGGCTATTTTCCAGGGCATGACACTTGGAATTTCCCGTTCCGCTCCTTCTCTGCGCTTACTTAGGGCCATAGACAATCAGGTTGGGTGCAGTTTCTGAGCAGATTCATTGGCCTGGCGACGCCCTTCCACCAGGTCTGAACGAAGTGGGCGACGCCAGCGCCCAGCGACGCCCGACTTGGGCGTTCCCGAGGCGTGAAGGACGGGTCATGCGGTCTGTGCGGATTGGGAGAAGGTAGGAAGTAAGAATGCTCCGTTCGTAACGATGCCAGGAGCCCCATTCGTAGCGTCCGATCGCTCCTAGTAGTAAGGCCAGGAGCCCCGTTCGTAGCTTCTGGTTCCTAGAGTCCCCAAAAGCCTCCCAACGTACCAAAAAACAAGGAAATACGAGGGAGAAGCATTTTTCTGATCGACCGCCAGCATCGGAGAGCCCGACCAACCAAGGGTGTTTGCTTTGACGGAAGGGTTCAACAGTCGAACTCCTTCCAGTTTTGAAAAAAAGGCCCTGGACGGGGGCATAGGAAACATACAGTTTTGGAGCCTCAGATTTAGTGCAGTGAAAAGGTTTAGAGTCTTTTTGTGGTTGGTTTTCCGAGTCGGGTGGCCATGTATGAACAGAAGTGTTCACACAATCTTAGTGCCTGTCGAGGGTGAAAAGGTGTGGAAATATGGTGCCCTTGAGATCCTTGGGGTCCCTTCTGCAGTCCCTGTGGGCATTTTCTTGTGTCTTTGAAAGGGGATGCTTGCAGGACATCGTTAGAAAAGAACTCCGGAGTTGAACCAATGGCTGTAGCAGCATGGGCTTCTGCGTTGGGACCGTCCAATTTTTGGGATATTTCTACCTTGCCTTCGGCATCACTGCGGTGTCTGACCAAGTCTGCAACGCCCTTCGCGCAACTTTGCAGCAACAATTTGGGAAAAGGTTGTGAAGTCGGCAGCGGCAGCAAGCCCAAGGAAGTCGACAGCAATGAAGGCACGAACGGAGCATTCCTCAACTGGCAAAGTCAATCCTTGTTTTCAGCGACAAGACCCATTTTTGCAGAATAGCTTGGGTTTATCCTAATCACTCGGTCCAGTCGGTCAACGGTTCTTACTATCACAGTACCAGTAACAGTATCAGTACGCAAAAAAACATCGATAGCTACTTCTGAATGGTGAGGTCATCCTCAGTGCACCCCACATGTTTGGACCATCCAGCCCTGTTGCCGCCCCACGGAAACGCGGTTTGCGGACCAATGGCGGACCCGCTGCCGCCTCTGCTGACGTACTGTGAGGGTGGCGACCTAGAGGCGGCCAAGGCGGAGTTGCAGGCGACAACTGCAGGGTGCACAGTTCCTGTTGACGACCGTAGGGCTCCAAAGCCATTTGTTTGGATTCGCGGTTGGAACATGTTTGAACTGTTTTTGGTCTCCAACATCACCTGATCTCACCAGTGAAATTGGCCGGGAACCGGTGTGGTGACAGCTAAATTACGAACCTCAATGAGGTATGTAAGCCACAGCTCTGTTTGGAGGAGCCCATGGTCCTTCATGAAGTCATGTTGCTGCCAGAATAAAACCTTCTCCAAGTATATACCTGAAGCCTCTCTCGCATCACTTAGAACTCGATTTAGTCACGAAACTCTCCTGGCAAGTCTTTCCAGAGCCCCTCAGAAGCTAATGTTTCGCCTTCTTTCAGGTTTGGCTTCCTTGCAGATATACAAGATGGAGAAAGGTTGAGGTTCACGTTTAGACACTGATGGGACCGTTTTGTAGAAGCAACATGAAGCAACTACAGGAGAATCAGATCAACGTCCTGTACATGAAGGGACACCTAGGATCCTTCTGTGGTTGTCCTTCACACCTATCTGTCGTCTCCTCTTCCACACCGTCGGCTCGCCGAGGCAGGCGATGTGAAGAAGCTGCTCAAATTGAGAGATCCGGACCGCAGGCAGCTGGGAGATGGGAGATCCGGGGTGCGCTGCTGGGCAGCGCGGGGGACAACCCCCGAAGGGCCACTGTGCAGCGCAGGGGAGTTTGACATGTTTCTTCTTTTTTGCTTTGCTCCTAGTAGCGTCTTTGCTCCTAGTAGTAAGGCCAGGAGCCCCCAGTAGCGTCCTTGCCCCTAGTAGTAAGGCCAGGAGCCCCTAGTAGCGTCTTTGCTCCTAGTAGTAAGGCCAGGAGCCCCTAGTAGTGTCCTTGCCCCAGTAGTAAGGCCAGGAGCCCCTAGTAGCGTCCTTGCCCCTAGTAGTAAGGCCAGGAGCCCCTAGTAGCGTCCTTGCCCCTAGTAGTAAGGCCAGGAGCCTCTAGTAGCGTCCTTGCTCCTAGTAGCGATGCCAGGAGCCCCTAGTAGCGTCCTTGCTCCTAGTAGCGATGCCCTTTGCTCCTAGTAGCGTCCTTGCTCCTAGTAGTAAGGCCAGGAGCACCTAGTAGTGTCCTTGCTCCTAGTAGCGATGCCCTTTGCTCCTAGTAGTGTCCTTGCTCCTAGTAGTAAGCAAAAGGAACCTTTCTCCATTTAGATGTGCTTTGATTGGAGAGGACAAAGGGTCGCCGAAACCATGTGAACCGCAGCCGAGTGGGATGCTAACTTGGCTGGTCGTTGAGGGCGTTTTTGATTCAGAGGGACATCGGGGAGGGAGCCCAAATTTGTGACGCCATGAACCAGCTAAAAACCGTTCGAGGGATGGTGAAAATGACAGCAAATTACATGAGGCTTCACTCATCCCAAAGATCTCTCTTGCAGCCATTTCGAGCCCATCTACATATTGGAAGATGTTGACCTGGGCGCAAGCGAGTTAGTAGCTTCTTCAGGTTTCGGACCCACCTTTTGCACCCTTCTCTTCTCCCGTCACTTTGGGGTGTGATGGGAAAGTGCCGGAACTGTTCCGGATGTGATTGCTGAAGACGTCGGAGCCAGGACCCCCTTGCACAGAGCCTGTGCGGCAGGACACGAGGAGCGATGTTCAAGGGGTTGACCATCAGATTTCCCCGTGTCTCGGATTCATCGGACGGTTGACATCTAAGACCAGGAAAGATCAAAAGGCCATTGCCTTTCGTCGTCGTTTTTCCGCCGTGCCTTTCATCCACTTAATGGTGGAAGTTTCTTGCGAACGAGCACCTCGACCGTGAGGAGTTGGCGGTCTTTCTCATTGCTCAAGGGGCCAATGTGAACGTGGAGGACCACCTGGAGGTGGAGGGCAGTGTTATTTTTCGGCAAGTCTTTGGGGAGGAAAACGCCACAAGGTTCATGGTTTTATCCAGTCCTGAAGGTTTGGATCTGCACTCTTTCCAAACTCGGAAAGAACACGAGGGCCGAAATCCCACGACTCGATGAATCCCAAACAGCCCTCCAAGATGCGCCTTCTTAGGCCGAACTTGCTTGTTTAAGTGTTTGCAAACACCACCCGTTTGGGGGTTTTGGTGGTCAAGTTGGGTGATCTTTGGCCTTGTGATGCCTTGTGTTTTCAGTTTCACCTTTCAGGACGAAGAGTCTTGGACCCCTCTGCACAGCTGCGCCTCCCGCGGCGCGGGCGCGCTGGTGGCGAAGCTGCTTGAGGCCTCCGCGGATGCGGAAGCGCAGACCTCGAGCGGCGGCGCAGCGCTGCACTTCGCGGCGTCGAAGGGGCACGAGGAGGCAGGTGTGGTGTGGTGGGGTGGTCAAGCTCGGGGCCACGAGGTGTTTCTGAGGGAATTTGCATATAAAACTGTACATACAGAGATAGAACAAATAGATGCATAGATAGAAAGAAGGAACAAACACACATAATAAAGGCATAGGTATCAAAAAAAAATAAAAAGAGCATCAAAAAAAAATAAAAACAGGATCAAAAAAAATAAACAGCGAATCAACAAATAAATATTCCTTGATAGGCCTCTTCTGCTGCTCTCTTGGCCTTGTGGTCTGCGGGTCCTCTGGTAATGTGGTCCCTTGGTCCTTTGGTCCCTTGGTCCTCTGGTCCACTGGTCCTTTGGTCCCCTGGTCCCTTGGTCCTTCAGTCCACTGGTCCCCTAGTCCTCCGGTCTCCTGGTCCTCTGGTCCTGTGGTCCGCCGGTCCCCTGGTATCCTAGTCCTTCTGTCTCCTGGTCCGCTGGTCTTTTGCTCTCCTACGGCGCTCGTCTGTCGATCTCCTGGTCCCCTGCTTGCGCAAATAGAGGCTTGATTGCTTTCTACTAGAGGCGCTCCCTGGGAAGAAAGTAGGTACCCAACGATGAGGTTGCCGTCCAGTCATTGAGTAGCCCTACTCGAAAAATGGTTCACCAGTAGAAATAGCTCCCTACTAGGAGGGGCAGTGGGCTAGAATATTTTTTTTGATTCCCTTTTTATTTTTTATTGATCCCCGTTGAATATTTTTTTGTTGATTCTTTTTTATTTATATTTTTGATCCCTTACCCCATAATAAAACATAAATAGGTAAACTGTAGACATATCATACTCGCAATACATATGTGTCAACCTGTAACTGTTGCAGATTTTTGCACCAACAGAAACGGACCAGACAGTGTTTTTTTCAGTCTTGCAGAGGTGCGTGCTTCAAGCTGTGAGGTTCAAACCTAGAATGCTTATCTGGCACTCACTATATTGCCCCAAACCATGTCCTGCTGCAGTGCCAGTACGTTGACACCCTTGGCTCAGTATGCACGATCAATGAGGACGACGCAGCTGGATGATGATGATAATTTTGATGTGATTCCCAAGAACTTCCCCATGTACACTGTGCCTTTGGGGACATTGCTGGACATGACCCAGATAGAGCCCCACGAAGATCTCAAGGCCAGAGCTGCCCTGGTTGAGTTCCAAAGGAACATGGGCAGAGCAGCATTCGTTTCACACCAGTGGGTCACCACTGACCACCCCGATCCAGAGTGCAAGCAGATGAGGATCTTGCAGGATGCCCTGAAGGGCATGATGTATGGCAAACTGCACCGTATACCACTGGACTTTCTTTCAGAAGTGATGGACTCGCATGCCAAGGCTTTACCAGCATCCGCCCTTTTGTCAGAGCCATTGTTCTTCTGGTATGATTATTTTTCTTGCCCGCAGAAAGAACGGTTGAGTCAGATCGAATCTGATGAAAGATATGACAGAAGCAATCTTTCGAAAGCAATCAGCAGCATACCGGCATATGTGGACAAGTGCTCCTTTTTCTTTGCGCTTGTGCCGGCTATGGAGACCCCCAACAGAGATTTCATCAACATGCGAAGTTGGCAGGCTCGGGGTTGGTGCCGTCTCGAAAGAACATGCCGAGAGTTCTCTCTCGGAGATACATCTTGGATCATCGTAAGAAGCCCCACGGACCTCGAGATCGCAGCAGGTAAAAACTGGGCCGCACGCGTTGGATCTGGACCAGTGGGCGAAGGTTCCTTCACCGTTGCCAGCGATCGCTTGCAGCTCCGACCAGTTTTGATGGCAGTCATAAGGCGAAAGATCCTTAGCCTCTTGAAGGCCCAGGATTGGGCAAGTTATCGTTCTGTGTTGAACCAACAAGCCATGTTGCTCCGAGGATTGGATTCAGTTGAGTGCTTTGTCCCCGTTGAGCTCTTCTCTCCGTCGGTGGTTTCAGAGTTCTTACACCAGAACGGCTTCCGAAGTGTGGGTGAGACTGACAGGGCAAGTTGGTCGCCTATTCACTATGCTGCCTTAAATGGGGATCCATTACTGATTCAAGAGTTGTTGACCCTGCGGGCAGATCCGAACAAAAGCACTAAAAAGGGTCACCCAGACCTGGGATTTGAATCTGGAATTACGGCTCTTTGTGTATGTTGCTTTTGGAAGAACAACGAGGCAGCCCAGCTTCTCATCTCGGCAAGGGCTAAAGTTACTTGCGGAGCGATGGCTGCCCAACCTCTCCTTTGTGCAGCAATGGGAAACAATGTAGAAGGAATCAAGATCCTTTGCAGTGCTGGTTGCAGCCCGTTGCAGCGCAATGCGTTTGGAGTCAGCGCCTTGCAAGTTGCTAACGATGCCGGAGCCTTGGAAGCCATTGACGAGCTCTTCGGACAGGGGATTGGAGGGTTGAATCCCACGGAAGCCTTTGTGGCCTCAGGAGGAGCAAGTGCTGAGACTGTGCATCGTCTGGTTGAAATGGGAGCTGACATCAACGATCAGACTTTTTATTGGAAGCTCATTAAGTCTAGCGCTCTGACTCGAACACTTCGCATGGTCATGATTTTGCAACACCTATGTGGAAAAGTCACGCAGGCCAGCAAGATCTACTACCACTCAATTGGCACAACCCCTTTGATGATGGCGCTGTTGCAAGGAAACCATGAAGCCGCCGCGGCTTTGATAGCTGCTGGAGCACAGCTCAATCTGCGGAATTCACGAGGATGGACTGCAGCAGACTTTGCAAGAGAGATGTCTGTGCCGGAGTTTTTACAAGAGGCTTTTGAAGGAAGAGTGGACGCATGCGTTCGAGTGTCATTGTTGGCACGTGGTTGGGTGGAAAAGCAATTGTAACTCATTTTAATGCAAGTGCGGTGAAATTGTAACGTCACAAAATGGACATAGTTGCGAACGCGAGCACAAATTCGGGGAGGAGCGGAGAGGGGGCGCTGTGATTCTTCTACATGCTACACTGCCCATTTACAAGGTGCTGAATGAATTCAAGTGACCAGAGATGTGAATTTCGACGGACAATAGAGGGATTTCTAGCTGTTTTGACCCGCCCTTATGTAGACCCCTAGCCCTGTGGCTTGGAAGGGATTTACTACTCGTATAGTAAGTAATTACTTAAAAGTTAAAACCATTTAGCAGGGGACCCACGGACAGTCAAGGTCAATCAGGAGGATGTCTGATGGTTGACACTTCACCAACTTGAATGGAGTGCCGGTAGCGTCCTTGCTCCTAGTAGCGTCAATGCTCCTAGTAGCGATGCCAGGAGCCCCTAGTAGCTTCTTGCTCCTAGTAGTAAGGCCAGGAGCCCCCAGTAGCTTCTTGTTACTAGTAGCAAGAATGCTCCTAGTAGCGATGCCAGGAGCCCCTAGTAGCGTCCTTGCTCCTAGTAGTAAGGCCAGGAGTGCCTTTATGCTCGGTTGGACCTGGACCAGGAGAATGATTGGCCCAGTGCGGAGAAGCGATACGTGGACAAACACAAAGCTGATCAATCCAACATAGTGATCTTTAGGATCGCGCTTGTCCACCCGTGTCTTCACACTCCGACCGAGGGAGATGGAAGTGGAGCATCCCCTATTTGTACGGGACCACATCCCCATGCATATCCATCTTCGCGACGGTCGATGAAACTCGGCCAGTGCCGTGCGAGGTCTTGAAGCAGCTCGTTGCTGCAGGTGGGAAACGTGGGAACCCGGGCTTTCGAAGCTGAGGGGCAAGGGCTATAACGGCTATCCCCAGAGCTTCAAGTTGACCCGGCAGTGTAGAGAGGATGAACTAAGAATCCCTGTTTCTTCCTGATTAGCGAGGAGAGTGGGGCTTGAAAATGGCAGCTCCTTGGAGTCTCCAGGACTGCAGGACCGAGTCTTGAGAAGCTCAGCATGGCGGCTTCACTACCTCCCATTTCGGTTGGTTTGACCTCACAGGCATCTCTGGCCATCACATGTGGCAGTTCGACCATGCTGTTTCTCCTACGGACCTCACCATCCTGCGCTCATTTTGGAAAGATGTCTCTGAAGGAGATCTTAATTTAACTCGGAGGAGTTTCACCAGGTCTTTCTAGGACGGTTGAGCTCGGAGGAGGGGTTGCAAGGATTCGAACGCTTTCATCCGGGATTCGATCGTGTGCAGGTGCAGATATCAACTGCAAAGATCGAAACAAAGGACAGCTCGGAAGGGGGCGCGGTTGGCGAAGCCCTGCGAGTCAGGGTCATGTGTCCCATGCTTGGTCAATCTCCGCGAAAAGGTCCAGAGATCGGGAGATGTTTCTTCAACGGCGTTTCTCTTGGGTCCAGACCGCCCTGCAGGTTCGGCCTAGCCCGTTGAACATGGCATACAATACATATAAAGCGCTTCCTTGGTGTTGCCGGTCGATCACTGAGTTTCCGGACAAGGATACACAGGCATCAGCTTGCGGACACTCCGTCGGGAGGAACTCCTCTTTTGCGCGCAGCGGGCGCTGGGAAGTTTGCAGCTCTGAAGATCTTGCAGCTGGGCTTATGGGCAGATGCGTTTTTCGGGAACTTGGACCCAGAGGAGCGATCGGACGCTACGAACGGAGCAAAGGGCCTCGCTACGAACGAAGCAAAAGGCATTTTTCACACCTTACTTTCAGCAAAAGGTTTGTTTGAAGCGCCCGCCCCAAAGCATTCCTGTTGCACTCTTCGACCTTGCGGGTGAGCCCCAAGGCTAGAGGCCCAGGCAGATGTCCTTTGTCGAGACCGTGCAGGGGAGCTGCTTGGTGATGGGCTGGGTGGTGTGTGTATGATGGTGGTGGTGGTGGTTGTTTGACCAAAGGGAAAAGAAACCCACTCTTCACCCACAGGATGGAGGTTTTGGCGCTTTGGGGTGGTCTGGAGGCTGAACGGCTGAACGGCCTGGAACCGTACCTGTGAACGGACGGTTTGGGGCCGGGACTGATTGTTGCGCAAGTCGTGGATCCAATGTATTGGGTCCAGCTTTGGCTATCCTAGTGTAGATATCTTGATCCAAAGTCCTTGTTTCTTTGACCACTTTCATACCGTCCCCCCCTACATCCTCAAAGCCACAGAGAAGGCTAGTGGTTCATGGGGAGTGCATGGATCTCACGCAAGTCGTGAGTCCAATGGTGTTGGGAGAGCAACACCAAGCTCAAACCTATGTATATGGTTACTATCATCAGTACAGTCCCATGTCCTGGTGCCAGTAGGGTTGCCAGCAATAGTCTCAGAATTGAATCACCGGACTAGGGGATCTCCATTTCGCAGATGAATGAAGAGATGAAAGAGATTCCCCCCGAAGCCCCAAAACCACATGTTCGGGTCATAATAGTGTGATAACCACAAGTGGTGGTGGCACACTGTGGGCTCATGACACCCTGAGTCGAATCGGGTTTTCACTTTGCAGATGAGCCTGATGGAACGTTTGCCACCCTTTCCTGATGGCTGAAACCCTCAGGAATGTCTTCCACATCGCCATCAATGGACAGCACCTAGAGATGTGCGAACTTCTCTTCGAACGTCACTTGGAGATGAGGTTATACACACTCACTGGGCATGCGTCAAGGCAACGACACACCACCACGCTCAGGGTCAGCCTGCAGTGAGAGAAGCCCCCCAAAGAAGCAGCTGCCAGCTGGCCTGCTCCTCCTCTCCTGTGGCTGCTCTGCTACTCTATCCCACACAATGGCAAGTCCTTTCATCTTTGCAGTGGGGCCATAATGAGCTGGGGTTGAACACATGTTTCAAAACAAGATGGAGCCCACGAACCCGAATGCAAACACGTTCAAAAAGCTACATATGTCCAAATGACACTCTTGTAGGACACTCTTGTGTGTAGGACACTCTTGTGGGACACTCTTGTGGGGCACTGTTGTAGGAAGCTCTTGTAGGACACTCTTGTGGGACACTCTTGTAGGGCACTCTTGTGGGACACTCTTGTGGGACACTCTTGTGGGACACTCTTGTGGGACACTCTTGGAGGAAACTCTTGTGGGACACTCTTGTGGGACACTCCTGTAGGACACTCTTGTGGGATACTCTTGTGGGACACTCTTATGGGACACACTCTTGTGGGACACTGTTGCGGGACACTCTTGTGGGACACTCTTAAGGGACACTCTTGTGGGACACTCCTGTAGGACACTCTTGTGGGACACTCTTGTGGGACACTCTTGTGGGACACTCTTGTGGGACACTCTTGTGGGACACTCTTGT